GCTTTACTCAGGCTTCTTTTTAACCTAGGTTGGCGGGTGGCAACCGCAACCAAATCCGTACGCAATTCAATAAGTGTGTCTCTCCTCGTGAGAGCCCAGGGTGAGCCCGCAGAGTGCCCCCTGTGGACCCGTCGAAGGGGGGTATGTCTTTATCTTCCTTGCTCGGAGATGTACGTGTCCAGAGCGGACAGCACGCAGGAGGCTTAAGCCAAAGTTATTTGAAGACTTGATGGATTCTTGAACTCTAAGCTGGCCGCCATTTTGGCATGCCTTTAGGTGACCGCAGCGGTCAGCAGTAGGCAGCCTTCGGGCACGCCGCAACGTGGTCGCAGCGACAAAGGTTGTTCAAGGTTCATTGGAACCTGTCGAGACCTTAACCCCCTTCCTCCCCTGGGTGATCCTGAATGCAACACTCAGGTTCACACCTCTCCCTGGTGTGTCCCTGGACGATCGCTCGTAGCTGGGAACACCTGTCCACTTCCCTTTCTTCCCTCTTCCTTCCCTTCCTTCTCTCTCTCTCTCTCTCTCTCTCTCTCCCTCTCTCTCTCTCTCCCTTTTTCTCTCTCTTCCTTTTTCTCCCCCTTCCTTCTTCCTAGGGTGTCCCTGGATGCTTTTGTCATAGCTTAGCTGGGAGCCCTTTCTTCTTGGTGTGTCCTTCAAACAAAGAAGGCCCCTGCAACAGGTTTTTCAATGAGGTTGGGTCTGTCATTGGTTTGTCCCCTTTCATTTGGTTCCCTCTTCATTGGCCCCTCACAGACGTGTTTTCTTCTTTTCTTTCATGTCCTTCTGTCTTCACGTCTCGTCATCCTCATCCTTTCTTTTCTCTTGCGCGCACTTTCGCCGGGACCTTAGCTTGTACACACAAACACACGCACGCGTATTCTACTTTCAACTAGGTTCAGGTGCCCCAGGTTTGTTACAATGAGGTTCGGCTCATCGGTTGTCCCTCTTCACTTGGTTCCTCTTCATCGGCAACCACACACACTTTTTGTCTGTCTGGTCTCTTTCATTTTCATCTGTCTCCGTTGCGCGCACATGTGCTTCGCATAACCCCCTTTCCGGGCAGGATGGGGGTGCCTCCTTTCCAAGCAGGATGAAGGCCAAGCATGCCTCCCTTCGGGGGGGGCGTGTGCGTGGAACCCTTGGACTCACAGGGAACCTTTTGGTTTGGAGCAGGAGCATGTGGCCCTCTTGTCCTACCACGCGCAACGAAGCTGTGGACAAGAGGGGGATGCAGAGCCTGATCAGCTCTGTGTACCTGCTCCACTATTTAGGAAAACAGAAGGAAATGGACTTGTGTGTCGGTGCCTTTCCTTCTGTTTTTCCTCTCTTCTACTCTATAGGTTTGCAGGTAGGCCTCCAAACTTGTAATGTGGTCCTTCAACCTGAATTCGTTGGCCTCCACCCACTAGCATTGGCCTCTGACCGTGTGTCTTGTGTTTCTTGTGCTTCTTGTCACCAACCTACTAGCGATGGCCCCCCCAACCTGCCCACGACGGCCTCCAACCTAAGAGCGAAGACCCCCAACTTTGACGGCTTTGCTGTCTTGTTTCTTGTCACCAACCTACTAGCTTACTAGCGATGGCCCCTCAACCTGCCTTCGATGGCCTCCAACCTAAGAGCGACGACCTCCAACTTTCGTGCCTCGTTTTACTCAGGCTTCTTTTTAAACTAGGTTGGCGGGTGGCAACCGCAACCGAAACCGTACGCAATTCAATAAGTGTGTGTGTGTGCCCCTTGTAGTCACAGGGATTCCGTTGAATTGTTTCCGCTTACTTCAGCAGGGGCGTGCGGCACTCTCGTCCTACCACACGCAACGAAGCTGTGGGCGGAGGGAAACTTGGCCAGTTTCCTGTACCTGCTGCGATATTTACTCCAATCTCCGGGCCCTGCTTGTACTTAAAAAAAAGAAATCCAGCCTTTGCACCGGTTTGCTCTCGGCAGTCACGCATAGGGCTTTGGTTTCGGACGACGTCACTCTGTCGCTCGGTCGTTCGATGGTTCCTTTAGAGTTGATGGCCACGCTGAACTTGATGGACCTCCACTTCCTTTTCAGGTTTCCTTACCTGTACTCACTGTACTCTTAGGAAATGGTAACCTAGGCCGGCGTGTGGCACCGCTTTCAGTTCAGTACACCCTATCCTAAGTGTGTCTGGCCTCGGCCAGCCCGGGATTAGCCCGCAGAGTGCCTCCCGTGGACCCGTCGAACGGGCGTTTGTCCATGTTCCCCGGCTTTGGGAACGTAGGTGTCCGGAGCGGACAGCAGATGGCTTATGCCACAAGAATTGGAATTTTTGTCTCATCTTTGGAATTCCAAGTTGGCTCATGCCTTTACGTGACCGCAGCGGTCAGAGGTGGCCGCCCTCGGGCATGCCGTACGTGGTCGCAGCGACCGAAGCTTGTCCCATTCTTAGGTGCACACACAGCGTATACATGCAAACGAGGCGAGGTCTTCCTAGGTGTTTCTAATGAGGTTCGGCTTCATCGGTTCTCGTCCCCTCCATTTGGTTCCCCTTTTCATCCTTTCCCCTCTTACACACCTTTTGTTTCCTCTTTTCTTTCATGTCCTCCTGTCTTCATGTCTGGTCATCTCATCCTTTTCTTCGTTTGCGCGCACATTGGTCCCGGCCTTAGTGTGTACGTGCACTTCTACCTACAGTTTTAACACAGGCTTCAGGTCGCCCAGGTCTTTACAATGAGGTGGGCTTCCCCACTCCCCCACACCACAGGTGTGGTGTCGAACCTGTGGGATGCTGAGGGCCCTTACCACAGAGCGCGAAGGTCAATAGCAAAGAGATGCAAATGGACTGCACCGATGGGTCCATTGAGACCTGCCCGTGGAACCCCCAAGGCGGGAGATGGAGGGCTCCAGTGCCTCGAGGTGGCCGTTGGTCTCTTAGGTTCTTTAGAGCTCGTGTGATGAGCTGTTTTCGTCCAGGATGGCCTTCTAACAGATCAAGAGTCTATGGGCGTTGACACTGTGTCCATGTTCAGTACACCCACTAAAGCAGTAGGGTTCTCTTGGAAAGCTCCTGCAATTCTGGAGACAGTCCTGGCAAATGTCCATGAGCATTGGCACAAATGCATCACTCAACGCCTGCGCGCGTAGCCGAGCCGGAGGAGGCTGGCTCACGCTCTATGACACCATGGCACTATGGAAACCTTGACGACACCACCTGTCTACAATTTTCAATACGACGACGCAATGAGCAGCCATATGAGACCCTTGCTTTAAGACATAGCCTGCTGCCACTGCTGTTTGGAAAGAATCCACAAGATTGGCAAAATGCTGGGACGCCACGCATCTAGGAACTCAGGGTGCTGTCGGAACACTGCCAGTCGTCGTTCCTCCAATCATTGGAGGATGTGTGAAGCAGTTGCAAACTAGTAGCGATGCCCCTGTTACTAGTAGCTTCGTGCTACTAGTAGTAATGCCCTTGTTACTAGTAGCGATGCCGTTGTTACTAGGTGACTAGGAAATGTTCCCTTTGCAAGCACATTAAACCAAGTCGGACGTTGGAATTACACCAGGACCTCCCTTCTTTCGGCAACCAGTGCAGTAACTCTACCTTCCAAGAGTCTTGACAGAAATGTTGGTTCGAGGATGCCTGCTCCAGATCTGGCAAAGTGTTTACCCTTCCTTGCATGACAGTTATATATTGCAGCGGAATTCTTGCAGCTCCTCACATACGCAGCCGCAGTCTGTGAGCAGCACAGACGGCAAGACCTCAACACCATTTTATTGGATCTAGAACAACCTGCCAGGGCTACGAGTACAGTATAGCTGTGCTGGTGTACAGGGGCTGATCGAAAGGTTTCGGGTTGGGAGTTGTGATTTGGAGGCGTGCCAGTGAAGTGCTTGGAAGCCTATATAGCCATATAGCCTATGACCCAAAGGGCACAGGTGTCTCGTCTCTAACAACCCTTGCTCAGCTTGGTGTCTGGTCTCCCACTCTACTAGGGGCTCCTGGCATCGCTGCTAGGAGCATGGACGCTACTAGGGGCTCCTGGCCTTACTACTAGTAACAAGAACGCTACTAGGAGCAAAGGGCATTGCTACTAGGAGCAAGAACGCTGCTAGGAGCATGGACAGGTCTCCCACCCTCTCGGCACATTTCGGTGCTCCGGCCGATGCCACCAGCCCCAGCACACGGATCAGGCCGCTGCTCGTCTGGCATATGAAGTGGACGTGGGGTTGAGGAGCTATACCGCATCCACAATACCAAACACGGTAAAAGCAAAGTGATGTGAATTTGCTAAGAGACTCCTCAGGTCAAGAATTTGTTCCTTTCCAGTTCAGTTCTAGGACTCAAAACTGACCACAGAACAGTTTCGAGTTTCATGTGCCTGAGCAGGGCCCATACCAGAGCCGACCACATCCATTCCTGGATGAAATTGCGCCACTTTGGACTTGGCACGGAGAAACACAAATATCTTCACCACCCAGGTCACAAGACAAGCTGATGCAACATCACACCATGGTATCATTGGCAACGGCGCCTAGCAACATCTGACGGAGAAGGCTGCAAATGTCCTCGGGATGCAGTGTAATCAACTATCAGGCTTGAGTGCTTAGAAACCACCACATCAGTAACATCGGGTTAAATCAAGCCTCGGCGCAGGAAAACAGTTGCAAACGTTTATGTGCTGCCTTGTCTGGGATATTGAGTTGAAGGTATCAAGATGGCAGATTCAAGTGCGGTCCTGTTGCAACACTTCCTCCGCAAAGTCATGCGAATAGTTGGTCAAGACAGACAAAATGTACAGAACCTGGCAGCAATCTATACAACTTCAGCCAACTGTGCATTGCCTGGATGAATGCGCATGATACCTGCTGGCCCCACATTTACAAGAGAAACACCCTTAGTTCTAGCTTGCAATGCAGTCAACTATATAGACTACTTGTTTCATGTATTCCACTGATCATGCCTCTGAAAGGACCGAAGCACCCCCAGAGTTGGAGGAGGAGATGCCATTGCCCAGCAAGAGCATTAGATTGCTCAAGACCTCACCGTGGGTTGGACTGAGCATGGAACACCTCCGTCAATTCAGACTTTATCTATCAAATTGTATGATGTTCGCTCCTCTCTATAAAGCTTGCTATTCTTCCTGCGTCGTGGCGAAGCCCATCCTGCTTGCTCGCAAGCGTCAGGTCTAGCTAGATTGACCTAAGATCCAAGATTTCTAAGTGCATTGAATTGTTCACCCTCCTGCGCTCCTGTGGTTGTCACCTGTGACGGTCTAGCCTTCCGTTCGGATCTAGGCACCGTGGTCACAGCTGCGAATCCGGACTCCACAGAGTCCAAAAATTTGCTACTTCATCAAGTAGGCGCCTACTTGATTAAAGCAAGGAAGGAGTAAGCTACTAGGCTAAGTTAGCTTCTAGTCACTGGACACAGGATAGCTCACACACTAATGATTTGGTTCCTAGATTTGTTTGGAAACTTAAGTAACTGTTTTTTTGGGAGCCCAACACAGAGCTGATTCATGAGGAACTGCAAGGACTGCACCAGTCACTAGTTCCAGAAAGGAGCAATAAATAGAATGACCTGAATATGTGGAAAACTGCATCATCACTGACGGATGCAAGGTTCTGCAAGGGCTTGTTCTGACCAGCAGGGCACCCGAAGACAATGGACAGAGGTGGTATGCAAGTGACTGTGCCAATGGACTGCACAACCACAATCGTTCGCATGCCACATTGCTTCTCACAATGTTCGCCTGGAGATTCCCGAATGCACCATCTCAAGCTTTCGTTGTAACAAGTCTTTCAAAGCCTCACAGCGCTAAATGTGCATATCCTCATTATCAATGTCGACTTCTCAACGACCACGCATGGTCATTCGCCGAGGCAATAGCTCTATATCCAAATGAGTTTGAAATGCCCAGGATACAAGCCACTTCCAAAGTGTTCGAAATGGAAGCACCACAGAGTGAGCAGAAACAGCTGAGTCAAAAAGCAAGGCCTTCTTCCACTTTTGACTCAAGGTGATCTTCATGTGATCTTCATGTGTGTGTGTGTCTGGCTGTAAATGAAGAACACATGTCTCTTCGTGGTTGAATGAATCGACGGCCTACAGAAAGATCAACATGTCAGACATCTGGACCCTGGAAGTAAGCGTTGGTAGCTTGTTTCTTCTGTACTAAAATGCCAGCAGAATCGTTCGCTACGAATCTAGGCTTCCAACGGCACTCGGGCACATGTCCTCAAGAACCACAGGCAATGTTTGGGCAGGGAAATGCTCCCGAAAGGAAATGCCCGTGAACTCACTTTGATTCAACAAATGTAAGAAAGGTAAGAAACATGCCGGCAGCTGCAGTCACTAAAGCTCACTTCGGAACGACGCTCGCGTTGCGGGCACCAAGATTCTGAGGCATGTTGTTTAATTGTTTGATTTTATAAACCGAGCAAAAAGAGGTGCAAAACATGCTGTATCCGTATCCTAAATTAAGATGTGTGTGTGTGTGCCATGATCACCCTCCTTCAGGCTGGCCGACAGCTTTTCTGTGGTCACCGCTGGAGTCTCGCTGACCTGGTACAAAAGGCCACCATGGGTGTGGGTCTTGAGGCGTGGAACTTGACCAACCACACAATGTGGAAGTAGCTGTTCACGAGGTGATGTCAGGAAGGTAATACTGTGGGTTTTGACATTCTAATTTCCTGGCAAGCAAAATGGCTCCCATGTCTCAGCTCAGTTCCGAAGAGAAGGGACGAAAGTCTCTCTTGAAACCGTTTCTCCTATCGGCTAGCAGTACGTGATTTTCGACGGCCTGTATCCCGAGAAATGCTTTCTTCTGGAAAGCTAGCCAGTAACAAGCTGGCAATATTTCTCTTGAGATGGACCCTTGGCCCACCGTCCCAATCCTTCATCTGACTTGAATCTCCGAAAACAACCACACGAGCAATCACCCATCTGCATTGCACACTGACCTCCATGTAGGACACCAAAAAACCCAATCCCAGCTGATCGTAGTGAGACTTGCTCACGAAGACTTATCCGTTCTTCCTTTAAATGCTTCGTGTCAAAGGTGGGATCTGGGTCTCAAACCAGGGTGACCGCTGGGACTGGGTGACCCCTAGGTGACCCCAAACTACCTTCTCTGCCTCTCAAAGCGTCTCATTTTGGGAGACAAGGTCCCAACGGGAGGTGCCGGCATTGCGGGGATTGGCGGCTCATCGTCGTCATCCTCGTCCTCATCCTCGTCCTCCTCCTCCGGACGCTTCTCTGCACCAAGACCTTGGTGAAGTTGCCAAGTCTGCAAATCCGGTGGAAAAGAAAAACACAAAGTATGCAAAGAGATCTTGTCTCTTTCTCTTCGTGGCTAGCCAGGTTTGTCAAACGTACCCAGTCACCCTCTACCGCATTCATTCGTTTCATTCAGAAACATTTCAAGTGAGTTTGAGTGGTTTCGGTTCTTTCCAGCAGGATTCGACAAAGCTCAGGACGAAGGCGAGCTTCAGCAGCAAAGCGTGAGACTAAGGAGCCTGGCACGGTGGATCGTGAAAAGTAAAACAAACGCATTGCAATGCTCCTGCCTAACGTGCCAGGGTCTTCTTTGGGGCGTTCATGGGCTGTGATGCATCCATCCTGAAGCAACCCATTCAAGCTCTTGGCCAATAGGTATAGTAAATACTAAAATACCTGAACATTGAAACCCCTCACATACGCTGAAGCTGAAGCTGAGGGCAGTACAATAACTCTGTGCCAGCATTCACAGATGGAGTGCAGCACCTCAACAGGATATGCAAACATTGGAGAACGTTTCTCGTGCAACAAACGACGAGAATGCGCGTTCGTCTCGTGCGAAATGTGAAAACCAAAGCCCCGGCCTGTGGGTCAGAGTGCTGCAACCTGAGCAGTGGCAAACCGAATACACTCTTCCGGAGAGTATATAGCTAGAAGTTTGCCCAGGCTGACACCTGAGATGCTTTGTTTTCAAGCACAAACAAGCACGCGCGAGCGAGAGAGAGAGACAGGGAGAGAGAAACAGAGAAGGGGGAAAAGGGCCAAAAGGAAGCTGAGGCTTTGAGGTGCAAAGCTGGAAAGCTGTTCAGTGGGCCGTGTGGCCTTGATGGTGAACTGATTGAACACCACAAAGTAACACAAGCGTTGATTCCAATGGGCGAAACAAGCGCAATGCCAGCTCATCCCAACTAGTTGACTAGCTGTTCCTTTGCCACAGTTTGATCTGGAAACACAACCTCTCATTGTCTCCAAAGATACGAGTAGTGTCCAGCAGGAAGCTCAAGCAGAATCAGGTATATAGTTTTTACATATGTAAATGTATACATACCATACCTGACAAGTGAGGAGCAAAAGCCAGCCCTTGCAGACGATTAGAACAAGGTGCTTCGCTCAAGAAGTTCCAACGAGCCAACGTGAAAGTCTACCCCGCACAGCCCCCTGATAATGCCCGAATCGTTTGCAAGGTGTCCTGCTTTGTCCAAAGTCCTATCGCTAGAACCCCCGCTTTCCGGGACGGCCTCCAAACAAAACACAACGGGCAGCAACAAAAGAAAACTCTTCCTTGAGGTATTTCTTGGGGGGGGTGCCCACGTTTGCAATGAGATGGCCCCGCACAAAATGCAGAAGCATCTAGATCTGTAAGACACACTCCTTACCTGCATCGACAACTCATCTCAAGAAGCGGCTCGCAAGATTCAATTATTATGCGCGAAGATGCGTCTGTGCTCTCCTGCTTTGTCAAGGGTCTTATCGCCAGAATCCGCTTTTCCGAGGTGCCTGTTTTGCCCCGAGAGCACAAGGGCACCAACAACAATTCATACTTAAGGTCTTTCCTGGGAGAACTTGGCGCCAGAACCCACTTTTTCGGAGCGCCCTTTGGCCCCAAGACGGTCCTCAAATATTGCATAGAAGGGCGTCAACCAAGAAACCCCCAACTCCTTGCATTGCATCTAGATCAACTGTGTCATTTCCACGCCTGCATCGACAATTCATCTCAAGCAGCAGCCAAAGCGCTTTCAATGGTTTGTCCGGGCAAATCTGCCAAAATTCATTTCAAGCAGCAGCTAGCGAGATTCAGTGAAAGTAATCGAAGATGCTCAAAGGCCTTATCGCCAGAACCCGCTTTTCGGAGGTGCCCTTTTTGCCCGAGACGGCCTTCAAACAAGGCGCAAAAAGCCACCAACAAAATGTCCTCCTTAAGGCGTTTTTTGCGAGAACTTGGAGCTAGAACCCACTTTTTCAGAGGTACCCTTTTATAGCGGCTTCCTGCATCATTCTTGCCTTCTCTTTTCGTCAGGGGCCTTCTTGCTAGAACCCGCCTTTCACAAGTTTGCTTTTTTTGCCCGACACGGAACGTCCGTGCCAGCACCCACTTACTCAGGTGTGCCCATTTTGGCTGTGAGATGGCCTCACGCACAACGCAAAAGGGCACCAATCCAGAAATGCGGCTGAAGGGGTTTCTTCGACTCTCTGCATTTTGATCTCTGTGAATCATTCTATATATCTTTCCTTGGCTCGACTTCAAGCTCAGCTTGGCTCCACAAACTAAAGCAGAAATATTGAAAGGCATAATATGTTACCATACTGGGATCGACAAATTGTTCAAAGCACTCCAAAAGATGCCGTCATGCCCACTTGAGTCATGCAAAAAACGCCGTCATGCCCCATTGATGATGAAAAATATGCTAACTTTCGTAACGCATATTCTTTTGAAGTTGGCAAAGCACTGAGTTCAGTATGTCCTACAGCCGCTGGGCTCCCTGGCAATTGTGCCAAGGTCGGCAACACCGGCTTCACGTGCTGCTCGAAACTGCAACAGATTCAGCAGGCCAATGAATGGTTTCGCACAGGATCTCAAAACTACTGCTAGTACTACTACTCCTCCTACTCCTCCTACTACTCCTCCTGCTCCTACTCCTACTCCTACTCCTACTCCTACTCCTCCTACTCTTACTCCTACTCCTACTCCTACTACTACTACTACTACTACTCCTCCTACCAGTCCTCCTGCTCCTACTCCTACTCCTACTCACCTACTCCTACTACTCCTACTCCTACTCCTACTCCTACTCCTACTACTACTACTACTACTACTACTACTCCTACTCCTACTCCTACTCCTCCTCCTCCTCCTACTACTACTACTACATGCTTGTCTCCAAGTCTTATTTTGCTTCAGAGTTTTGGATGCAGGTGTAAATGGAAGTAGAAAGTCCAAGGCACACTTGCGCAGGTGTCACCGCTTGAAGCATCAGGGCCTTGGTTGAACAGTTCTCTAAGCAGGACTACACGAGTTCAACATGTCTGCCAAATTAGCCTGACTGATACACCCCCGACACTTCCGAGGCTCGAATTGAGGTGCAGGCTGCAGCATGGGCGGCTTGACGCTGGACGGAGATTTGGAAGAAGTCCTGCAAATCCGGAATCAGACCGGACGGGTGAAGAAGCCTCGTCTGCCTTGTGCAAAAATGAGAAACTAAGAAAGTACATGGCCTACAGTCGAAAGTTGATCTCTAAAAAAAATGAAAGATGCGTATATCAATTGATTCGGTGACATCAAACACACTCAAACCCAAACCCTGTTGGGATCCCTCTCAGCCCGCTTTCAGCCCCATCTCCGCTCCAGGAAGGTGAGGATTGCCTCCAAACCACCCGCTTTCAGCACTTGTACTGGCTGATCCTGCGGTGGGAGATATCTCAACGACACTTACAAGATTTCATTCTCCAATCCGAACTGCCAAATCTCCAGACGACGGAAAGTCTCTCGTCCGAAGAGAGTTGCACGACACTAGATTAAAGTTCGAAGCTCCTTGATGGTGCTTGCATGCATAGCGCGCGCGCAGAACCAGACAATGCATACCAAAACAGGAAATATAACAGGGCAGAGGGCATGTCTTTGATGAGCAACAAGGCATGGTCGTCTTTTGAGTTGACAGCATTGCAACTCCCTCAGACCAGGTGAGACTTGTTGAGCCCAAAGAAACCTCCTAGAAGCCCTTCACAAAAAGACATAAATAACTGCAGGCCCCAAGCACAAAGCCCGCCTGAGATATGAGCTCGATTGTTGAGACAGTCAGCTCTGCAACATCGATGTACTCAATGTTCAGAAGATTGGCGCCTCATAGACTGTAGACTCGGGAAGCCCTAAGCCACTAAGTCATTAATCATATTTCTTCCCTCACACAGAAGATTGGAAAAGCAGTAAAGGCCAAGCTTGATGCCCCAACTTGAGCCTCTTTCAGGAGCCTCTTTCTTCCTCGATGAAAGGACATCAGCTTCGCCGAGGCACAAAGGACCGAGAGGCCACCATGGCCCACAATGATGCGAGCAGTCGGCGGCCTCGGAATAAGGGCCAAACGGCTAGAGAGTTCGTGGTGTTTGATAGGATTGATTGGGTGCTGTTGATCTCGTCCAAGTTGGTCACAACCACAAACTTCAGAGGAGATCGGAATATGCCATTCACCATGGCATTGTGAACCATTTGACCTTTGTCAGTTAACTGGGTAAACCACGGCATTGCGTGTCTAATCTGTTCATTCAGCCCTTGGCAGGATGTCCACCACATTGTAAAGGCAACGGCAGGCCAGCAACATGACCTGAGGTGCAAGACTCTCACGGATTTCCAAAGAATTTAAGCAGCAAAGCAGTAGTAGAACACGTTCATTTCACTGCACAAAACAAACAAAAGCAGTAGCTCAGTAGGACTATCACATGACCGGTCCGGCCTGTCCGGTGGTCTCATCGCCATGGCCTGGATTTCCCAGGAGGTTCACCTTAAAGATCCACTCGAAGCACTGATGCGGAAATTCAGAAAAAATGCCGGGTGAGAGCAAGGACGCACAGTTCACACAGTTCTGTTCTTGTTGGCAATTCAAAACTTGAACCCCTGGCGGAAAGCTGCTTCATCCACTTCACTACAAAGAATGAGAACTGAAGTGATACGTGATACGTATGTCATGTGTAAATGTGTATATATATACAATACGGAAGACCTCCAGCTTGAGCTCTCAAGAAGCCCAATCCTGCAAACCTCCAGCATGTGAGGCTGGGGCCAACAAAGGGATGAACGTTTCCATGGGAAAGGAGATCAATGCCTCCTCGGAACCTCAGGTATGCAGCTGATGACTGCAACCATACACTCACAACACCTGACCATCAATATGGCTTCAAGGCAAATGATGTTTCCATTCCACAAAAAACACGTTCTGAAAGAAGTTGGATACACGTGGATCAGGAGACACTATGGCACTATGGTTGAGACAGAGCAGACACTCTTCTGATTCCGTTCCTCCTCTTTCTCTTCTCCAGTTTGCTTCGTTCACACTTACTGCAACGGCACAAAACCACAGGCGGACCTGACACATTTTCTGGCCTTTTGTTCGTATCAAGTTGGGATGGCTCCTTGGGGCTGTGTCAGTTCTGTGATCCTGGTACTTCTTCATGGCCCATTACTACATATGCTGATCTGACACCTGACTCAATCGATTCTGCAAAGCAAAGCCGCAAAAGCACCTCGATTCTATCCAACTTGAAACGGCTACCAGAGTCAGCTGGACAGCTTAGGACCCTGCTGAAACTGAGCTGCTCTGCGAGCTCTGTAAGAGCCACCAGCTGCTTCTGGCCATCCTCTGAAAGTTTGCAAGTCGAAACAGGACGTTCTTTCGACCAAACCCTTCGGAGCTCTGCTAGTGAAAATTAACTTGTTGAAACCTGACAAAAGGCCACTCTCAATTGGAACATGTCCGAGCTTGACAGTCCTCGCTCTTGAGATCTCTGAGCAAGGGAGAGAACTGCGAGGACGAAGACCTGCAAATGCAAGTTAGGCTAATTCTATAACAATGACATCGGAAAAGAAAAAACATAAGACAATCCCAATTGTTCCTCAAACAAGCTATGGATGCATCAAGCCTCATCTGCTCTCTCTCTCTCTCTCTCTCTGATCTCACTAATATGGCACCGCCATCCATCTCCACTTCTCGAAGTCTGCTGGGCTCCCAGCGAGGATGAGCCAAGGCCGAAGGGAAAGCCTCTCAATGCACAAAGCTCCATGCGCCCTCGGGCCCTCGTTTCGTCCAACCCTGGTGAAGCATCGGCAACAGAGCTGTGACGCCTCCAGGTGAAGCATCGGCTCCTTCCATCTGTGCTCGCTTCATGAAGAAGCTGAAGGCACCTCAAGAAAGCAAAAGGCCCATTTCAAATAGGAACCCGCACTAAGGAGAAAGCTGAGGACCGCACTGTTGCGGTCGACGGTTGCTATCAACCAGTGACACTCGTTTGTTTACCTCTTTTTGGTCTCATAAATGGCTGTACTGCCTTCAAATCTTCATGGATACATGGCCTGCCGACAGTTGCAGCAGTTTCTGACTGGGTATTCCACAACCGAATTGTCAGGAGCCATGTCAGAAAAAGTAAACAACAGGAGCAAACAACAAGTAAGTATGGCAAATGTTTAAGAAATCCAGGTCAATCGCCGCTGGAGACTCGGATAACGCACTCGCGGAGCTGTGGGACTAAGATCAATGCCAAGATCTCCGCCACGATGTCTGGCCCTGGGCCATCTTTTTGGAACATGCACTGACAAACAAAATTATAAACACATGTGAAACAACCAGCTTTCATCGCCATCCAGAACATAGCCAATGTCGTGGCTATTGGTAATGTCGCTGCAGGACTTGCATCTATGTACTCGCAATAGCTGCGCCAGGTCATCATGCTGAAGAATTGGAGGGGGGGCTTGTCGTCGACAGTCGCAAGTGCAAGCTGTGCATTTCGCTTGCTCTCAAGCAACTCAACTCTCTCGCAACTTCTGTTTGCTTGCCAAAGATCTATTGTACTTTGCAAAGCAAGTGCTAGCAGTACTCAGGTGCCCACAATCCACGTGCCATTCCTTGGGGAGTTTCAGCTTCCTGCAAGCCGCATCATCTCTCGTGCAATGCATTTGATCGGATGTTCATCAATCTTGATTCCAGGATGCTTACACACTTTACATTGATCTTAGTAGTAAGATCTCCGTTATACTGTCCAAACAGTATGCAATCGCACCACCAAAAATCTGTGAATCTGCACGATGCGCAGCGGAAAAAAGCTTTCAGCATCCAGTCTTTTCTCTACGCGGTGGCCTCGCTCTTCATTTCATTGGCACGCTGTCTTTGTACTCTCCTTAAGAGTAATGCTGCCACCACCGACATGAGGCCAGCGACGCCGAAGCAAAGAATCCTGTTCCTGGCTCTCAGAGTTGACCACATTCACTCAACATAAAGCTGTCAAGGTTTCCAAATACATCCAAGGCGCCTTCCATAAAGAAGTCCGAGCGTAATCGGGGTAAGGACCCGGGCGATGTTGTCTATAAGGGAGCACAATCCAAGGGTCTCAGCGACTCTGCATCACATACCCACAATGACATCAAGAAGAGCAGCTCATCCAAAACGAAGCAAACAACAAAATTGCTTCATGAGTCCCTTTCCAAGACCCCTCCACGACACACTAGCCTCACTAGACCTCTCCATGTACCACAGCTTATTTGTCTTATCAAAATCAGCTTCGCTGCTGGATCTGCAGGACTTGATGGCCACGTTCAACTACTATGCCTAGCCAAGTTGCTCGGCCCCGATGATGCTTTGGCACGCTCGCCGCCAACAAGGTGGGAACTGTTGCAGGGAACGTGGCCGAACCAAAGGCATACAGCAAGCCGCCTGGCGTGCCATTCATGGCCATTCCCATCAAAGACCAAGGGAGATGAGAAAGAATGAATCTCATTGATTTTTTCTGCTGAAGTTTAAAGTCAACAGGGTTGCTGTTCAAAACAAAGCAGTGTGCAATCAAGCACTGAACAGTTGGAGGGCAAACCAACTGAAAAGGCTTTCTGAAATCAAGATACGTTGGTGAGATCCTTTTGCTGCCGCAGGCAGTAGATTTTGAGTGCAAGATTGAAGCACTGCAGTGGTGGGGGTGTGTTCATCTTGTGATCGTAGTACAAGGCTGAGCATGTGCGCTGCATGTATTGGTGATCAGCAGCGTTTGTGAACCCTCGTTCGGCGAAAGAAGCGTGACTCTGTTAAATCATCAGTTTGCGCAGAAGGCAGAGAGAGGCAACGACGATGTAACATTCTTACAAAGATGCAAGCAAAACAAAACCCTGAATAGATGCACTTGGCAAGCTAGCAACCTAAGGTGGTCCTTGGCAACCAAGGTACCATGGTAGCTCTCTTCCCTTTAGTTTACGTTGGCCTCTCCAATACGCCGCCAGTCGGTATGTTTTAATGTTCGTTCATCGTAGTGGCTTTCTGGTCAATTGGTAGTGGTCTGATCATGACTGAGAGTTGGCTTGATGGGTTTGGGGTCGTAGCCTCAAGTCCGTAGTGGGTCGTGTAAGTCGAGCTACAGATTAACTTTCAGCGAGCAGGGCGAGCCCGGCTAAGCTCTTGTACAAAGCTTCTGAGACCCAGCCTATTGCAAGCATGGGCACGCTTCCAACGGCCAGCAGCCACAGGCCTCAGTTGTAACTTCACAGACCCTTAAGGACTCCTCATCTTGTGCTTTAAATGCTGTCTTGTATCTTCGTTCTATTGCTAACATGCACTTGCTCTGCGTCAACTTAATGAAAACTAGACGACGAGTGGCCCGAAAACATTTTTCATCACGTAGGAAGTCAGAGTGTGAGTTCTCTGTTAAGTGTTCAGTGTGAAGTGTTAAGTCGATTAAGTCGAGTGAGTTGAGGCAGTGTGTGGGTCTCTGTGTGTGTGTATTTATGTCTGTGTGTGTATGAGTCTCTGTCTGTGCTTGTGTGTGTCCGAGTAAGTTGAGGCAGTGCGTGGGTCTCTGTTTGTGTGTGTGTCAACCTCTCAAAAGAGCCGGGTGGTCGGGAGACATGACTCAGCTGCAGGGGCGCCAGAGCAGCCGCGAGAGATGACTCAGCCGCGAGAGATGACTCATCCGCGTACTAAAGTTGTACTACAAAGTCGCCAGTTCTCATCTTCCAGCTCCCCAGATACTCCGC